ACAGGAGAACGTGATTCAATTGCCCCTTCCACCAGCCTGGGGAAATTTAAATTTGGCATTGCTGACTCCTGGACTGGGAAGTGATGTGGATAGTAGCTAACATTTGTGGAACACTTCCCATGAGGTGAGCGTAGGCTAAGAGCTTTGGAGGCATTCTCCACTTAAAACTCACAACCTTTAATTCCCCTGCTAACCTTTGAGTGAGATATTGTTTATTAATTTCTTTACATTGAAGGAAATGAACTCTCAGAGAGTTCATGTATCTTGGCCAAGGTTTCACAGCAAAGAAGTAGAGGAACTAGGAATGAAACCCCAGCTTTAATTTTTCTTTTGGTTTTTTAGCAGTAGAAACTTCATAAACTACTACAATCTATGTCAAAACCCTCTATATAAAATATAGCAGTTGTGTGTGATGGTGATTAAGACAGTAAGAAAACACTGATAATTATAATCAAGAAAATTATCTTGAATTCCTAAAATAAAAGTACATCTATCACACAGTTAAGCTGTACCCCAGGGCTCAGAACAGTACCTGGCTCTAGAAAGCATTGAATAAATATTACTGACCCCACGTGGGTGGTATTCAAACTCTCATAGATAAGAGTGTCATTTTCTGATGGCCTCTTTTTTCCTTAGACGAAATTGATTCAGTCCCTTCCCTCGTCCAATCCTAAGTTCTTTTTCTCCATCTTATGTTGTGAGTTTGGGGATAAAGTGACAGGTTTATCTTTGCTTTTGGTGTTTTCTTTCACTTTATCTTTAATGCTATCCTTGAGTATTTGCTAACCTGTTCTGATGTATAGCTACAATTCTCTCATTTGGTCTACTTGTCTCCTTACTCTGTGCTTTGTAACCCCTTTCTCCCTCTTTTTCCAAGTATGTGAGCCTTCTTGAGGATTTCTTGGAGAGGGTCTTGTGGCTACAAACTCCCTTAGCTTCTGTTTATCTGGGGATGTTTTTATTTCTCCATCATTTCTGAAGGATATTTTTGCTGGATAGAGTATTCTTGGCTGAAAGCTTTTGTCCATTGAAGACACGAATATGTCTTTCCAGTATCTTGAAGTCTGTAAGCTTTCTGCAGAGAAATCCTCTTAAAGCCTGATAAGGGTTCCTTTGTAGATTATTTTCTTCTGCCCTGCTGCCCTTAGTATTTTTTCTTTGTCATTCACTTTTGCCAGTTTCACTACTAGATGCCTTGCAGTAGGTCTTTTTATATTGACATATTTAGGAGATCTTATAGCCTCTTCCACACGGATTTCCTTTTCCTCCCCTAGGTTTGGGTAGTTTACTGCTCTTGTTTATTTGAAAGAGCTTTCTGCTCCATTCTCCTTCTCTTCTCCCTCTTGAAGACCTATAATTCTTCTATTGCATTTCCTAATTGAGCCAGCTATTTCTCAGAGACTTTCTTCATTTCTTTTTAGTCTTAGTTCTCTCTCCTCCTCTATCTGGAGCTTTTCAATATGTCTACCCTCAATTATGCTGATCTGCTCCTTTGTGATGTCTGCTCGAGCATTCAGGGAATCCATATTTTGTTTTATCTCATAGATTGTGTCTCTGATCTCCAATATTTCTGATTGATTCTTTTTTATAATTTCAATATGTTTTGATAGGGGTTCCTTTCTAGGCTGTTTTCTTCTGCCTTGCTGACCTTAATATTTTTTCTTTGTCATTGACTTTTGCCAGTTTTAATAGTATATGCCTTGGAGAAGATTTTTTCCATTGATGTAATTAGGAGTTCTATTGACTGTATGCACTTGTAATCCCAGTTACTTACCGAGATTTGGGAATTCTCAGCTATTATTTCTTTGAACAAGCTCTCTGCTCCATTTTCCCTCCTTCTCCCCCTGGAATACCTAAAACCCTTAGGTTGCATTTCCTGAGTGAGTTGGATATTTCTCAAAAACTTCTTCATTTTTAAAAAATTTTGTTCTCTCTCTTCCTCCACCGGAAGCATTTCTAGATTTCTATCTTTTAGGTCACTTATTCTCTCCTCCATATTGTCAGCTCTATTATGTACGGTTTCCAGATGATTTTTTATCTCATCAATTGTGTTCTTCATATCCAGAATTTCTGTATAGTTTCTGCATAGTTTTTTAAAGTATTTCAGTCTCTTAAGAGAAGTAATCCTTCAGCTCATTAAGTTTATTCCTGAGCTCATTGAACTGGATTTCTGAATTTTCCTGTAACCTGTTGAGTTTCTTTATGACAACTATTTTGGCTTCTGTCTCATTCAGAATGTAAATTTCCATGACTTCATGATTGGTTTCTGGAGACTTGTCATTTCCCTTCTGCTCTGAAGTGTTACTGTTGGACCTCAGTGTTTCATGACTTGATCCTTTCCTGGCACATTTTTGGTAGTATAAGTCTGCAGGTTCCACCTACCATCAGTGGAGGGAGGAGGAGCAGTGTTTTCTGAACCTTCCCCGTCTGATGTAAGTTGTGCCACGAGGGCTGCTCTTTGTGAGCACAGCCTGGCCAAAGACAGTTGGTAGGTCACTGTCTTGCTGGCAGGGCCATTGCACTGGGCAGGGGACCAGGTGAGCTGCTGTGCTAAGTAGATGTGGCATGTTTTTTGTGCACATGTTGGCACTGCATTCACATGTTTGGCTGAGTTACTGCAGTTGCTGGGTTGGGAGCATCTGTGGATGCTGGACCACCATCACTGAGTGGGAAGTGTTCCCATGGGTTACGCTGCTATGGCATAGTGGTCACTCCCTCATGCTGAGCAACCACTCCAAAAGTGTTTGTGGAAAGGCCAGGTTGCCCCTGCCTCCACTCCCAGTCAGGTCAGCCTCTGTGTGACGCTCTGTGACCTCAATTCCTCTCCCAAGGATAGGGAGGGGCCTTCTCACCTAGTTGCACTGCTTCGTGAGGATCCAGTCCACCTACCTGCAGATGCATAGCTGTGTGGATCTCCCAAGCTTCCTATGGTGCTGTGTAGGAACTCCTCTGTAGGTTAATGAGTGCCCATTTGGTAGTAACTTAGAGGGGAGAGACAAAGAGAACAACTCACTCAGCCATGCTGCTGACATCATGAGCCAAATCCCTTGAGCATTTCTAATATAGGACTTTAACTTCTTTATTTTGCATTTCGCTACCCAGCTTTCCTAGCACCATTTGTTGAAAAGTCTATTGTTTTGTCCATTGAATGGTCTTGGCACACTTGTCAAAAATCATTTGACCACCAGTGTGAAGGTTTCTTTCTGGTCTCTCAGTTCTGTTCCATGTTCTTTGAAAAGGTGAGAATCACCTTGTGTTGATTACTGTGGCTTCGCACTAAGTTTTGAAATTGGGAAGTGTGAGTCCTCCAATGTTGTTCTTTCAGGTCAACACTGTTTAGGTTATTCTGAGTCCATGAATTTCCATACACATTTTAGGATCAGATTGGCATTTTTGCACAGAAGACAACTGAGGATTCCATAAGGATAGAATTGCATCTGGAAGCCAATTTAGGAGTATTACCATCTTAACAATATTAAGTCTTCCAATCCATGAACGTGGGATCTTTAAATAATTTCGGCCTTTCTTAATTGCCTTCAATACTATTTAAATTTTTATGAGTATAAATCACGTGCTTCTTTGGTTAAATTTAATTCTAAGTATTTTATTATCTTTGATATTATTGCAAATGGAATAGTTTTCTTCATCTTCTTTGGATTGTTCATTGCCAGTGTATCAAATACAATTGACTTTCAATTCATTTTGTACCTTACAACTTTGTGTATGAGTCACACTTTCTTATATCATTGCATGCCTCAATTTTCTTGTTACGACCTGGACATTTTATAGAATATATTGTGCAAACTCTGCACAATGATTACTACCTACCCAGGGCTTGTGGTTTACAATTTTTGTGACTTGGCTGGACTCTTTCAGTGATGTCCATTTTCTATGCAGGGTGCCTCCGTGGGCATACACCCAGTCACCCTGGAGAGATGGTCATTGGAGCAGGGCTGTCTGAGTATCTTTTCCCCTGATCTCATGATGTTGTTCATAATGTTATTTTCATCACACAGAGCTGTGGGTTGGTGTGCTTGGTGAGGATCATAAAGTAGCTCGGATCTCACAGACTCTTGTTCTGACTGATATTTAGTGTATTTTCTTGAATAAATGTGTCTCTCAAATCGGTTCAGAGGGACAAGAATAGAAATTTCTACCTGGCTCTCTGGGACCACACGAGGAGCCTTTCTATGCTCCTCTACTGGATAGTCCTTAAACTGACCTGGTTTCAGATTCCAGGGAAATACCAACTTGAACATCATAGAGGCCAAGAGTGGTAAACTCCCTGAATGGTGACAAAAGGCCATCCCCAATGCAATACCCACTATTCTAGATCTCTCTGAGGTGCTCATGCACCAGAAGAAAGATTAGGCATTAACTTCAAGGCCCTTTTTTATTTGGGGCACATGTGAATTTTACTTTGTCTCATTCAAGCCCTGTTATGTACTGATATATTATTTTTCTAGAATATCTGTTTTTTAAAAAAGAAAAAGATAGCAGGTCTTTGAAATATGTCTGAGGACCAAGGAGGTGCCACGTTCTGCATATAACACCTTATGCCAGGGCAAACAAGGCAGCCCATCAGGTCCTTGAAAAGATTCCAAACCTCAGAAAAATGGAAAGTTTAGTTGCAAGTACAGAGTGGATGGACGGGAAGCACATGATCAGCACTCCTTATATTGCCAGTCAGAGACTATCTCTAGGAAGAAATAACGTTTCACCTAAGTCAGGAAAGAAAAGTCATTTAAGACAGGGACCAGCTCTCCATACCCTCTGGGACCCTCCTCCCACCCACACCCAGTGGCCTCCACACTACACCATCAACATTCAATCAAACCCACAGAAAAGACAACTCTGATGTGTGTTATGTTCCATCACCACACAGGGTCTGGAGGAGGAGAGGGCCAGGACATGAAGATCCTGTGTGATCAAGCTGGGCACACTGAGACCCTCCCATTGGAAAGATGGTTCCTTTCATGAACGGGAAACAGAACCACACCTGCAGAGAAAGTGGTTTATTGATTGAATTCAGGCACAGTGGGAACAAAGTGGAGTTTCAGGGAAAGTTTTGCACCTCTGTTGCACAGAGCATCACCTTTATGCTTGAGATTTCTTGATTTTCTTCACGCAGATTTCAAAGGCTTCATTGCATTCATGGCCATGGGTTAGATGCACTGTACAGCAATTTAACAAGGTGTTGCTGTCCATGTTAAGGAGTTCTACTTATTTTTCCAGTCAGTCACATGAGTACCAAGCTGTTTCTCTTTTCCTCCTTGTCCTATCTGCTCTTCCCTATCTCTACGCCTGCTTTCACATGCTTGCTCATAAGATTATATTTCACTGTCTCTTCCTCTCTGTCTCTCACCTTTTCTCCCTGTACGTTCTCCTGCCACTAATCCTCCCCAGATACTCGTCGTTCCATTTTTAACCCTGCAAACTCTCTTTCTTCTTCCTTTTCTAACTCTTCATCTTTTGCATTTTGTCTTTTTTCCCTTACTCATCTTGTACCTTTTCTCTCCTTTTTCCTCTCCCTCCTCTCCAAACCTCTGCTCCTCACTCTTCCTCCTACATCCTTTCTATCTCTGTCCATCCCTCCACCTGTCTCCTCTTGCCTTCTCACACCTCTCTGTGTCATCTTTTTCTGTCTCTTTCTCCAGCTCTGTCTCATGCCTGATCACTCGCACCTTTTCTCATCATCCCCAGGACACTTACCTTTTTATTACTAGCAATATTTCCAAGCTCCATGATGATCATAGTTAGGAGTGACTGAGCACCAAGAAATGCGAAAAAGACTTCCATCAGTTGTGCAACGGTCATATGTTTGGCCACGGTAGACAAAGGGAAAGGCACATTTGGCATAGTCTGAAAGTACAAGGAATGGATGAGAAAGTGCTTCATAGAAAACATTTTCTGTGTGTTATCAAGAGAAAGGGACATGAATGCAACATGTTAGTTAAGACAAGGTAACGCCTGAGACTTCCATCTAGTGAGCAATTATGGAAGTACCCCCCTCACGAGGGAATCCTCATGTTCACCACGTGAGCATAAGCTCCATACTCACCTGTGGCAGCACAATATTTCCAACTCCCTGAATAAGTGCCAGTTAAGGAACACCAACGGTAAAACGAATCAGTCCTAGTGCAATCGTAATACCGATAGCCTCGATAGTTGAATGGAAAAACACATTTATTTTCTGCAAAAAGCAAAGACGTTGTCTCCATCAGCTTATCAGGTTATCATTAGCTCTGCGGTAACTCTTGCAAAGTTTCTATTCCAGCTAGCTCATCATCACCAAGGGCCTGCCATGTAGAAAGCCCTTTACTAAGCATCAGGGATGTTAAGGTCAATGTGAAGTGATCTCTACCCTCAGGGACTAGGAAAGGCTCTTTAACTTCCAGTGACATTTACCCAGAGGCATTTCCATGGATATTGGAGCTCCAGGCAATGGACGAGCTTGCCAGACAACAGAGTAGCCTGATTTTGCACCATAACTTTTGTCACCTGTTATTCTGTTGTGTCGAGATCTGTAGTTTCTGCTTTCCCACATTCAATACCAAAAGTCTAAAGAGATTCTATCTCTGTGAACACAGGCAATTTCTTGTTCTTATCATTAATATTCTGCCTCACATCACATGGAAGCATGATTTTTATCTGTGCCACAATCATGGCAGATCTAAGATAGTTTCAATGTGCACTGATTTAGCCATTTTAATGGATCAAAGATGAAAATTCCAGAAAGACAGAGGGCTTTGTGGTTATGTGGACCTGGCCAAGGCATCTTTAGACTTGATGAATTCTGTCAGCCTCATCAGTGGATTTCCTGGTCACAGATGTCAACTCTCCACAACTCACGTGCATATTCCTGTTGAAAACTATCTCCCTATCCAATCCTACTTCATGCCTCTTGGGCAAGCTCCCTTATTCGAACACCATCCCTTGGAATGAGGCCCTATTTACCTTGGCATCTGGCACCGGCCCTGAAGCCCCGACCTGGAGTCAGATTCCAATCCTGCTCTCTATAGGCTGCTTAGCCTATAGAGGGCCCCTTGTTTCTCACATACACCCTGGAGATGTGTACACTTACATCTCCAATTATTGAGAAGGCAAACTTACCTCTTGCATGTAAATATCTCATAAGAATCTCAAGCACAGTTCCCTCTCCAGACATTAATCTGATTTATTTGATTGTTGGTTTTTTTCATTATTTTCCAAATGGATTACCTGGTGTCACTGTAGCAGAATGTTTGGTCATAATCAGCTGCTGATCTGGAAAAATTCAGGAGTAGAGGAGATGGAAGGAGATGGGACAAGAACAAAATTAAGGCACTCTGAATACATTCTATAGTATGACATGCTCTGCATCTATAACTTTCTTCTTTTTCACACTAAAATTTTATAAATATTTTATTGCAGTAAGAAGACTTAACATGAGATCTTACTAGTTAACACATTTTTTTAAACATTGGCAACTGAGCTAACATCTGTTGCCAATCTTCATTTTACCTTCTTCTTTTTCTTTTCCCCAAAGCCTTCCAGTACATAGCTGTATACTCTATTTGTAGGTTCTCTGATTATGCTACGTGGGACGCCGCCTCAGCATGGCCTGATGAACGGTGCCATATCCGCACCCAGGATCCAAACCAGTGAAACCCTGGGCTGCTGAAGCAGAGCATACAAACTTAACCATTTGGCTATGGGGCTGGCCCCCTATTTAACACATTTTTAATTGTAGGTTCTAGTAATCTACTATACAATGTACTGATTAGAAGTAGCAATACTATATTATTTTCACATTTTGACATCCATGTTTTTTCTTTTTTTTTTTTAAGTAGATTACCTGGGTTCACTGTAGCAGAATGGTCAGCCCCCGTCGTCTGCAGATCTGGACAAATTCAGGAGAAGAGGAGATGAATGGAGATGGGATCAGAACAAAATTTATGCACTCTGATTACATTCTATAGTAGGACCTGCTCTGCATCTATAACTTTCTTTTTTTCACACTAAAGTTTTATAAGCATTTTTCTCATGCTAGGAACACTTAACACGAGATCTTCCCACTTAACACATTTTTCTTAAACATTGGCAACAAAGCTAACATCTGTTGCCAATCTTCTTTTTTTTTCTTCTTCTTATTCTTTTCCTCAAAGCCCCCCAGTACATAGCTGTATATTCTAGTTGTAGGTTCCTCTGATTGTGCCATGTGGGATGCTGCCTCAGCATGGCCTGATGAGTGGTGCCATGTCTGCGCCCAGGATCCAAACTGGTGACACCCTAGCCTGCTGAAGCAGAGCACACGAACTTAACCACTTGGCTATGGGGCTGGGACCCCAATTAACACATTTTTAATTATAGGGTTCTAGTAATCTACTATACAATGTAGTGATGGCAATTAACAATACTGTATTTTTTTTACATTTTTACATCCATGTTTTGTCTAAACAGATAACACTCTGGATGTGAGTACTAGAGGGCTAAACATAACAGATAAGTAAGATTCTTACACTTTCTCACTGATATCATACCGCCACAAATCAATTACACCACAGAAATCATAAGATTTTACCTGAGACTACGCTTTTCCTATTATTCCAAATATTGAATTATATTTCCATCAAAAACTCTTCCTTTGAACAATTTAGCTAACCCTGTATAGAGGCTGCCCATGGCTGGGACATTGGAAGGATATTTAGGAATGAGGCAGCTGTCATGAGGGTTGATAGGCAATAACAATGTCGGCCTTTGAGTAAGATTGACTACGTTTACATTTCAAATACTTGTTTGAAACTTAAATATAACGAAAGGCCATAATAGTGTCTGGTCCTTGAGAGATACTCAAGAATTGGCAGATATATTTCATGCCATCATCATTATTATTATTCTATTACACACCAACCCGTTTCTGGTGCAGGTTCTTCCACACCAATTCAAGCCCTTCTCCCCTCCCTCACCTCCATCCACATGGTCCAGTTGGAGAAAGATACAAGCGCCAGCCCAAATCAGAAAGATTCCCAAACGTGGTGCCATGGCAGCTTGCCTTGCTGGGACTGAAAACATCAATAGCCACTGCCTTTTTATCTACCCCCTTACACCTTACCCCACAGCTCCATGACCTGATAAAAATCAACCTCACCGGGGGAGTGCTTGTGCATTCCTAAGCCTGAGAGCATGAAGTTCAAGTTTATCTCTCAGGTAGCATGCACAGGACATTGGCCAGCCATGTAAAGTCTCTGAGGTTCAATAGTTTAAAATGCAGCAAAAATGTTTGTAATATCCTTTTCGGTTCCAGTCCCCCATGACCCGGCAAAGGAAGGAGGGGGAGATGAAAAGATCATTTTCTCTCATGGGTGTTCAACAGCATCCATCTCATTTCCTGACCACAGTCTCAGCATCAGGTACAAGGCTCAACCAGCTTCCTGTAGGAGCCTCAAAACAACCTGATGAGGCAGCCATGCAAGGTTCCATTTGGAGGGGGAGGAAACTGAGGCTCAGAGAACTCCTCAAGGGCACAGGACGAGTTGGGGCAGAGCCGCTGTTAGACTCACCTGGTCTAGTGGGCATTTTCAGAGTGAAAGTTTCCCTAACACATGCCAAACTCAACCATATTGATTGTCCCCAAACGGCTTCCCCATCCTGGCTGAAAACTCAAGACAAACTGGAAACACAACCCATCTTCAGACAAGAGCAGAAAGACCTGGAACTCTCCTCTTCTCCTGAATAAATCTTTCCCTTGCGCTGAGCCTCAGTTTTCTCACTTACAAAGTGCACATAACAATCCCTTCCATACAGTGCAATGTGAGTTTTGTATACTGAGTACTTTAACCTGGTGTAAGGACTATGTATACAGTAGGTGCTCTTTGAACACCAGCTCAACCTTGGTGGGGATCCATGGGTCCTTTTGTCTGTCCTCCCTGCCTCCTTCTAACCCTTGTACTTAACTACACACTGTGTAGTGAAAGGTAGAGTATCTCCACTCTCACCTCGAAAGATGTCACCTTTTTGAAGGCAACTGCACAGGCCTAACCTTCAGAACACCTCTCCTAGATGACTTCAGTTGCCAACTCATTTTCCTTGATGCTTCAACCATCAAATAAACACATACCCATGGACATTGGCCAAAACGACAGCAACCTCCAGAGGCAAACTCTAAGACACATCTATATGCCACAAGGTTGGGAGGCTTTAGGGAAAAAAACAGACCATCTAGCCACGATTTAAAAGAGAAATCTAGGGAACACAATGGCCCAAATACGACTTGATAAGCAGCCACAAATCCTTGGGGATCTAAAAGTCTGTGCTCATTTGCAGGGCTAGAGGAGAGAAAAGATTGCCCTAGCTGTCTACTTCATCCAGGTTGAATGTAAGTCTTTGTGTCCACAAAAGTAAAACATGGTGTGTAATTGTCCACTGCCTAATCTTTAAATGTGTGTCCCAGTTCATACAAAGATCCACCAGCACATGGTGGAAGCCGAACTGACTCAAGATATTTCAACACCACCTCTGACCCATCACTGGCTCACCACTAAGCTATGCTGAAACAGAGATGTCTCCTCAGAAGCCAGGTTTAAAGAGGAAAACAAGAACTTATAAAAGAACAACTGAGCAGGGAAACCAGCAGTCATGGCGGGGCAAGCTGACTCCACAGAATTAGTCCAGGCAAGGGACTAATACAACAAATAAGGGGCTACATTAATAACCCTAGGTTAGGGAGTGAATCACAATCCAGAGCGGTCACAATCTGCTATCTAAATGCATGTTTTTTGACAAAAAAAATTATGAGATATGCAAAGAAACAGGAAAAAAAAATCTCCTCTACACAGGAAAACTACCAATCAGTAGGAGCTATCTCTGAGCAGTGTAGATGGTGAACTTACCAGACAAAGACTCCAAAGCATATATTATGTATATGTTCAAAGAATGAAAAAAAGCCATGTTATGGAATTAAAAGAAAGTAGCAGGACATTTACCCATCAAATACAGAATACCAATAGAGAATTAAGAATAATGTTTTTAAAGAGGACCAAGTGGAAATTCTGGAGTGTAAAAGTATAATTGCAAGCATTTAAAATTCACTAGAGGGGCTCCACAGCAGATTTAAGATAGCAAAGGAACCAGTGAACTTGATGATAGACCAATAGAGATTCTCCAATCAGAAGAAAAGACAGAAAAGAGTGAAGAAGAGAGCCTCAGAGCCTTATGGGACAACATCAGGTCTAGCAACACGTATAATAGGGTCACCAGAAGAAGAGAGGAAAGGGCAGAGAAAATAATAAGATCCATTTGAGGAGTACCGCCATCTTAACAATGTTACGTCTCCTCAACCATGAACGTGGGATGTCTTTCCATTGATTTAGGTCTTCCTCAATTTCTCTGAATAATACTTTGTACACTATTAACACGTGGATTTTATGGCATGCAAAGTTTTCTTCAGTGAAGTTCTTTTTAATAACAATTGTAAAGGGAGGTTTCTTGGATGCTTACACTGAGTCCCACAACCTGGATGGTTATTCTCTCAGCAGGAGAGATGACACCAAGTTTTTCTCTTCCAGAGATTGAATGCTCTTGATACTCGTCAGAAAGTTCTAGATATCTCCCCAGGGATTGTTAACCACCTGCATCAACTTCATGAATTTTCATGATAGGACTTTTCCATTGAACTAAGACAACAAGGGTACACCTCCTCCTCTGATTATCAGAAAGCCAGCAACCTACAGCCCCTGCTTATTCACTCTGCTCTTAAGTGCTACACCCAGGTGGCCCTGGGGGGTGTCCAATGTTCTCCTCCCCCAGGCTGTGAATATATGAGACTTCTATACTGATGTCAATCTCATCTGTGCAGGTGTTGTGTGTTTGGTCATCTCACTGCATTTAAGGTGGGATATGCCTCCCTCATCAATACAGTGAATATGAGGTAATCAGAACAACACAGCTATTTCCCTCATGATCCAACCACTGCCATCAATGTGCAAGGAGTGTAAGCAGTGGTCCACTTCTCTGGTAATTTGCAGACCTCGCTCCTCCTCCTAGTTTGGGGAATCTGCTATGATTCTCACTGTTTCTGTTGTTATACCCCACACTGAAAAAAGCACAAGAGGGGCCAGCCCGGTGGCACAACGCTAAGTTTGCACACGTTCTGCTTCGCTGGCCTGGGGTTCACTGGGTGCAGACCTTCGTACCACTTGGCAAGCCATGCTGTAACATGCATCCCACATATAAAGTAGAGGAAGATGGGCATGATGTTAGCTCAGGGCTTGTCATGTTCAGCAAAAATAGGAAGGTGGGCAGCAGATGTTAGCTCAGGGCTATTCTTCTTCAAAAAACAAAGACAAAAGAAAAAACTTGCCTTCCCTCTCCTTCCTCTCTGTCCTTCCCCCCAAATCCATCTCTCTGTCTCTATTCATCAATTTCTGTCTCTCAGACCTGACACGAATTTCTCAGTAAATTCATGATTCCACAAAATACAGGAGATTATTTGTGACACTCAAAGATGCTAGGAAAAGATTCACCAGGAATCTTGGCTTAATGGAGTTTCTACTTATTTGATCTTTTAGGAAGGGAAATATAGTAGGAAATTTTTAGTGGGACATACAAATATATTGGTTGCAGGGGAGTTTCAAACCTGAATTATCAAAGTTCACTGTGTTTATTATGGGCTGTCCACATCAGTCACTCTTATTATAGGTGGAAAAAGCTACTCCTAGAGAAAGCGTGATAAAGATAGAAGAGGAAAGAAGACTGCTCCTCCCTTTTCTTTTTTGCCATTCTCCCTTGTAGCCCTGACAGACTCCTGTCCTCAAGGAGGATCGATGTTTGTTTATTAGTTATCACCCCACCCTAACACAAGAAATGAGCTATCCTTGTTGCTCACCTTGCCTTAGTCAATTATGTCACTGAAACTTTCAATGGATGTGGTATCTGTTTCAGCTGATCACAGTCTCTCCTTGCACCACCATTACTCCCTTCTACTCAATGTCTACCACACTTGATTCTCCCCAGAACACAACTCTTCGTTATTTTTCCTAGTCAAGGAACCTAGTGACTTCATAAAATAAAAGAGGCGACAAAGAGGTTGGTGATCAGGAATTGGAGAAGAGGAGGTGATGAGGACTGTGTTGGGAACGATGGAAAGGAGAAGATAGGGAAGGGAAAGAGGGGGTGAGAACAAGGAAGGTGGGGACATGGAGAACAGAGGGAAGAGGAGGAGAGGGAGGCTAAGGGAAGATGAGAGAAACAGGGGAGAGAAACAGAACAGCTGTAATATAAACTACGTGCCCAACACTGTGTTCAGAACTGTACCTCATAAAATTTCACCTCAGTCCTAGTGGAAGGACTAAAATATGACCCTTTGATACATAAGAAAAAAAAAACTCAATAAAAGTTAAATGATTTGCCTAGGACGCAATGGCTAATAAAAAGTGGGGCTGAAAAGAAGACCCAGGAGTATCGGACTCTAAATCCTAAATCTGTATACTGTGCAGCCTTCAGGATAGAGTGAAGATCCGTAGGTGCAGAAAATTGAAGAGATAATGTGATGTAGTCATAAGAATATTTGTTCCGAACTCCATCTTGCCAATGAAATTGTCCTTTATGAGTCTCAGTTTTCCCTTCTGTGTATGGTAATGGTCAACTTCCCTGCAAGATTTTGGTGGGGATTCTATGAGTTCATACCCAGAAGGTAGGACGTAGTCAGGTGCTCAATAAAGAAACTCTTTCCTCTCCGGTGGTATTGATTTGGGTACAACTGAAGACGGAAAGGCTTGGAATGTGTGTCAGAGAGTGAGTTGTGAAACCTCAAGACATAGGACAGTGACCCAAAGTAAGGAAAAGGAAGAAGACATTTCCAAGGAGATGTCTTCGGGTTCAGAGAATTCTAACCAGATCAAAGATAAAGACACACTTTTCAAATCAAGAGATATCAGCTAATAAAAGAGCAATGAGGCAGAAAGGAGAATATACAGAGAAGGAAGCAATGAGCCTTCCAAAATCACTAATTCTGTTAAGTCAGTGAAAAGCCTTTGAAGTAGAGAAAGACAGTGAACCAAGA